TTTGTGTTTCATCCCTTAACTATAAACACAGAGTGGATGAGTGTGGTTAGGAGTGGGAATCATCATCACAGCTTCACACCCGTGGTGTAGAGAATAAGATAGAGGCAAGGCTGAAACAAACAGTGATTACTGAAGCATAAAAGGAAGAGAAGGTGAGAAAGCGAGAACAGGCAACTGCTATGTGCTCTCGCACATGGCTGGCGCCAGAATCTTCGTCTAGAAAGTGCTGCAAAGAGTTACTTGGAGCTGAAACACTGGACTTTTTTTTCATGGTACTCACAATATGGCTTCGTTTATGAAGTATCCTCGACGTATTCGATTACGGAGTGACAGTAATGTCTCAACGATGCGACATATGCTGCATGTAGGCATTTCTGGGGGTAAGTCATTTTCTTAGATGAATGAGAACACTAAATTGCTGGAACAGATATCAAATCTAGATGCGCCGCTTCCTCATGGAAAAATGGGTAAGCAGCCCCCTGCAGCGTACCAGCCCGACTGATTGATCACTAGGTAAATGAGGCTTAGTTCCACCATTTTCTGATAACTGTACCTGCGGAAAAATGTCTTTGGAAGCTTTACCTGATTGCTAACGCGTTCACTGAATGCACTGCTTTTTTTTCCAAAGCTATGTTTAGAATAAAAGCAATAAGACAGGGCATCAAAATATCGGAGAGCTGATTTTAAATTCGCAGCCTCACTCATATTTAATGAACATATTCCCAAAAATTCAAATGCTTAGCTTTAATTCCACATCTCCGTGTCCTCCCAAGCACATACAAATGCAGATTTATCTACAGTACGATTCCGACTTAAAAAAGAAGACGCATGAAAAGGTGTGTGGATATCAACGAGCTAAACTTTTAAATTGCAAACGATCTGGCCACTAAAGATTTCAGAACTGAAACGAATGAAGTCTGCGGCAATATAAACTCGTTAGTATTTGCAGGAAGCAGCCGCTTTACGGGTGTTAGTGGTTTCAGTTTGATCGACATAAATGTAATTTCGAGGTCGTTTTTGCGCTCACAGGTTCATTTCTCACTGATTTTGTTCTGCATTTTGCGCGCAGCCAAAATAAATTTGTGCTTCAGTTTTCAAAAATTCATCTTCCCTTATATTCGCTCTTAGTGAGGGATGGAGAAACTCGTAATTAGGCGAGCAGTAGCAAGTGCCATCACTTGCTGGCGAAGCTCTCAGTGGTTCCCTCTTTCAAGGGCTGCTTCGGGATTCCATCCCTTGGCAGCATGCCAGTACCACTTCAGCGTCGAAATGAACGAACGGTAGAGGCGCACTCGAACCTTCGACTTTCTGTACGACAATAGTTTTACTTCCCAGTGCGCCAAGACATATTGAAATATTCGCTAATTTCTTTTGTAGTTTTGTAAAATTCAGATTAGGCATATGGTGCGTGCAATTGTCGATCACGCTTGCGGATATTTACCGCGAGAACGCTTAATTTGGTTGCTTGAGCGTCCAAATCCAGACAACTTCCATCACCTCGGCATGGTTACAGCTCCTCCTCAAGGACTCATTTTGAAAGATGTTGTTTATGATGAACGAATGTTCGTGAATCCCATACCTTTTCATCATCATTCCTGGGATGAGGAAACGGATGTGGATGATCTTGACGAGTCTTAATTCGGACGAAACATTCGTTACTCGCTTTTGTCAAATTATTCATGTTTCAGTCATTGTTTTCTCAATAAATCACACTGTCAAATATTCTGCTGTTTCGCTGAAGCGGTGGAATGTTCATTTCTAATAGTGTCCTTAGTTTTGCAATCCGAAATCGACATTTCCTAGTCCTGTTAGAGCGAGGCTGCCAGTAATTCTGTATTTCAAAATTCGTTTCAAGAAACAGATCTCGTCTTTGTACTCAGCCAAATATTTTGCCAGATTGGGTACTCTTACTTGTGTTGCTGACATATGACAACTGCTAGAGCGGCTACTCAAGCAAAACTGTATCACATAGCCAAAAACGTTGAAGTACGCAAGGAAATAGTCTTGCAGAATCGGGTCCAAAATCCTTGACATTATAAGCGATTGGTACTAGTTCATGGTATGTAGGTGTGAGGTATTGGTGATGAGTAGGAGAGGAGATTCAACGGAGCTGGGCAAGCGGTACAAATTAACGACAAACTGTACACAAAATTGGGCGGAAGTGTGCGAGCGATTTAGATTGCGTTCATCAGTTTCTTTAAAATCCCAGACGAGCGAGTACCGTATCGCGTTAAAAACCATAGTTCTTCAGGCACTAATTTATAGATGCGGAACGTGGAATACCACTGTTGCCGATAAAATAGGCTAGCAGTAATATAAAGAGCAACGACAGATACGTTTTAGATATCAGCAGGCTGCAATACATAATCTCAACGGTGAACTGAACAGCTGCGTTGCGCTGTGAAAAAAAACATGGGAGATTGAGTTGGCCATATGGAAAAAATGACAGATAACAGATCTATGAAAAAGTTTATTGGTACTCATGTTGTTGAATGGTACAATGGCCATTGTTAGGCAGAGCTGGTTCGCTGAGTTGAATATGGGGAGTAGTATGGATTTGGGAAGCACTAAGATCGTACTCAGTAGAAAAGTTACCACCTATACAGTTGCAGATGCAGACCATGAATTAACAGCTGTTCCAGGCACTTCACATCTGGATACAGCAACCAGTACTGCTTCTTTAATCGATTTGCAAATTTTTTTTTGTCTGTCACATACTATTCGTGCCGGATATCGCTGCAACAGGCTTTTCAGGGACTTGAAATAGGATAAGAAATAAGGGAGATTGGACGAAGTGTCATGTGCAAGAAGATGTATTAGGATGCACTCTGTATTTCATCCCTTAGCCGTAAACACAGACCGAACTTTGCGTGCGGACAGGAGCGCAGCCTACCCGCCGTAGTGCAGCCTCCTACCCGCCACATACTGAACAGTTATGTGACTAATTTGCAAGATGGTTATGAGCCTGGCCTTGAAGGTCGTCTCTTGATTAGCCCTGGTTTTTATTACTAGAAAAAGATGGCAAGTAAAGAGTTATGGGAGAAACACACGGTTGTTATTGTGAAATTTTGTTGTGGGGGAATTTCTAGAATGTTTTTTAAGGTAAGTATATGAACAGGGAACTCTTTTGAAAATAAAACATTTTATGTAGGAAAAGCAGGATTACAGCTGGGCAGAAATGTTTCGGTTCCATTAAAGACCCGATTTTCGCAACCCGGGCCCGGACCCGGTAGTGAGTGGATATTGGGCGGTAGAGTCGAGTTTTAGTAGCCGCCGTCTGATCCGATGCGTTGATCTGATCTGGCCGTGAATAATCCATCATCGGAGTGAGCTATGCAATCGGTCATTGTCCAGTGAGCTGCAAGTACCATCATGGTTCCCGCCACGTAAGCTGGTACTGTGTATCATAAGTTGCGACGCGTAGCGGACGCGTCGCGTGTATTTTTCAATTTCACTGTGCTTGAATGGCGCTCGACGTCGGTTTTTAGCTTGGTTGGGGGTTTGTGCGTAGTGCCGGTGGTGGTGATGGCAAGGGGGGGGGGGGGGGGGGGGGGGGGGGGG